TGTTTTCTGTCACAGAGTTTTCTACCTCTCATTTACTACATTTATATACTCTACCCGGGTGCGCTCTATCTGGGTCGCTGTGGCCTCACCTCAGGCACTGTGTTCAGTTTTCTGTGCCACAATATAACACATAAAACTATTTGCGAGTGTCCAAAGGAGGGCAACAAACATGGTGAAGGGCCTAGAAGAGAAGGTGTGTGAGGAGCGGCTGAGGTGGTCTGTTCAGCCCCGAGCAGAGCAGGCTGAAGGGAGGCCTCATGGCGGCCTGCAGCTCCCTCACGAGGGGAGCAGAGGGGCAGGCGCTGAGCTCTGCTCTCTGGGGACAGCGACAGGACCCGAGGGGACAGCATGGAGCTGGGACAGGGGAGGGTCAGGCTGGGGGTTAGGGAAAGGGTCTGCACCCAGAGGTGGTCGAGCACTGGGACAGGCTCCTCAGCACCCATGGCCTGAGTTTTGGGTGGTCCTGTGTGGAGCCAGGTGTCGGACTCCATGATCCTTGTCGGACCCTTCCAACTTAAGATATTCTATGATTATAAAAGTATAGAAACCTGAGCACATGTTTAGCAAACAGAAAATGAGAAAACTAAGTTTGTTGATCTGGATTTAAAAAAAAAAAAAAAAAAAAAAAAAAAGCTAAAAGGAGATCTTACTGCTGTCTCGGCTGCCTGGTTGGTGGTTACAGAGAAGACAGAGTCTGACTCTTCTCAGAGGCGTGCAATGAAAGAACAAGGAGCAACAAGCACCAACTGCATTGTGGAAAATTATGACTGCGCATTAAGAACAATAACAAAAAAAAATCACAAGGATGATCATTCGGTAGAAGGAGCTACCCGCTGTGGCTGTGGGGCGTACACCCTCAGAGAGAGTGAAAACTATTAGGAAAGGCCATGATCAACACGGAGACAGGCTCTGCTCTGAGCAAGGGATACAACCAGATGATGTTATGAGATCCCTGCCACCCTACGTTATTCCATAACTCTACAACACCAATGCATAAATCTGAAACAGGAAAGTTTCAAGCATTTGGTGGGGAGGGGGAAGGAAGAAGGGGTAGAGTTACTTCCTAAAGGTTGGGGATTTTGTTGCTTGTTTTTTAATGGCTTCAAAAATATGAAGTTTACTTTTACCTTCCTCTCCTTAGTTTCCAGAAGTAACTATAAATGCATTTTAGTTATTTATTTATTTATTTTCTGCAAAGGAAAAGAAAATGAAAAAAAAAATGTAGGAGTAGATTTCAAACTATCAGAGGTTTTCTTTCTTATTAAGGTCCACAGGCTGGCCATAAAAATGTATTGTGGCATTAGATGTATTTGTTTGAAATACCTTATACTGAAATTCAAACAGTTCTTCAAGCAGAATTCCTAGCAAGAAGGATTTGTGACAGGGAAACTACAAGATTTACTTTGAAGAAAAAAAAAAAAAACGGGTGTTTAAGAGACCCACAAACCTTCAAAAGAACACCTCCTTCAAAAGGCCCCACCTCACAGCTATAAGGGATTTTTTCAGAAGTTAATGTATTTACATAAAGTGGAAAGACTTGCAAACAGTACAAGGCAATTACTGCAAATACTGCAGCAGTATTGAACAAAATGTTCCTGATTTTCATTGCTTTTTCAAAGAAATCAATTATTTCTTTCATCCACACTAAAACTATAGGCCAAATCCTGTACTTCTTACTAAAAGAGTTATTCTAGAGACCTCCTGCTGGTCTTCTATACAAAGAAAATGAATATGCCAATGAGGTGGAGAGAAAGAAAAGGAGATTGAAAATACAATCCATATGGAAAGAAAAATTGCATTTAAAATGCACCCAATAAACACAAAAGATCTACTACATTGTACTTGAGTAGCTTTGAATTTTGCACACTATTGTTGACATTTATATATTTATCTGTATGTATGTATATAAAGACACTTATATGCACATAAATACACACATGCTTCATTCTACATATAACCATGCAGATTAAAAAGCCTGCCCCTTCTTGTTTTTAGTATTAACACACTGGATCCTACATATTCTCTGGTATCATTAGCTAATAGCGCCCTGAATGTTCTCTGTGGTTTCTTATTCCTGCATATTTTAGATCAGCTTTGTGAACATACTAAAACTGTATTTCATGAAGAACAGTTTAGAAAAGATAAAAGATGCAGATAAGCAGAAGTGTCTAGTTAGGCAATTCAAAGTAATCATTGCATCTTATCTTTGGTTTACTTTTTTAAAAAAATCTACTTCTGGTTTATACATAAATACTTCTGCATCCCACATTTCATGTTTCTTATTATTTCTGGGCTTATCCCTAGAATGCTTCAGGAAGAGTCGGGGAGAGACCTTAAAATTTTTATTGCAGCAAGGAGAAGGACTGCTTTCATCAACCGGTGTACACACCAACAATCACACTTCCACTGAGGTTTCTTTCCTAATCTGTAACTGCCAGTAAGAACTAGAGGAAAAAAAAAAAAAAATCACACTGCCAACTATGGTACAGCAAGTGTCCAATCTTTCTGTATAGCAGCTCTGTAGATTTCATCAAGGGATTCTCTTCTCACTGCTGTAAGCATAGCAGTATCCTTCATCCTATGCACAATAACATATTTTGTATTTTAGTCCAGCAACATTTTCCAACGTGACAAGAACACTAAGAAGTAAGACAGTTACCCAACATCTGCATTCATTCCCACCTATCTCCTTTAGCAACCACAAAAGACAAATTTTAATCAGAAGTTAGATTCATTTTGAAAACTACCCTAAATAATTTAAGAATATTAATAATCATCAATTCCCAATAAATTAATTACATTACCTGAATGCTTCACATCATTTAAAGCCATGCTGCCTACTTGAAGGTTGAAAATATAAAAATACAAATTTTTTTCTTTACATCATACCCAACATATGCATTCTATGAAAAATCAAGGTTTTGTAATTGTGAATATCAACACAGTTAACAAGATAAATAAATAAAATAAAATTTCCTTATCATTCTCTGCATAATTAACAAGTTAGCTCTGAAATACTAGCAGGCTGAAGTGTTATTATTTCTTGTGGGCACTTGGATGGTGAATTCTGAAGACAGTTATGAATCAGTAACTGAAGTCAGCTTTCTGTTAATACCTAGAGCTTATAGATTTGCATACAGAGCTATAACTGAAGGCAGTCCATCAAGCATTTGCAAAATTGTGCATGAAGTTTGTTTGGGGTAACCCTAATGTTTGTTGTTTTGTTTTGTTTTTTCTTGCTTAGAACCTGGTCTCCCATAATTAGTACCACTCTTTTCATTTCTTCCCTTAAACTTCAATTTGCTCCATTGATTTTTTTAATAGAAAAACAGATATTTCCTATCTGAAATGGTGATTTCAAGATAAAAATATTTTCAGTTATTTTTTAATTTCCATAAGTATATATTTCTGATACCATTATTTTATCAATAATGATACCACAAATAATATACAGACAGCAGAGGAAGGTCAAGATACCACAGACTGTGAGGTGGAAGAAAAAAAAAAAGGCTTCCAAAACTCATCTTGTAATCCTGGCATATGATTTAAGATAACAGACCAATCTAATAACCAAGTTGTACAAAGAGAAAAAGATAAGGTAACATTGATGGAGACTTGAAAGATCATCAGCATTCAATGAGTACAGAGACCTCGGCACACCATGTTCAAACTTAGAAATTCTTTCCATTTTTATGGCATTTTGCTAAAAATCAGAAATAATTAAATGCGTAGCCACCTCTGGAATGAGGAGTCTATGAAGACAATTTTTACTTTGGGATTTCAAAAGTGAATCAAAGGTTTTTGTGTATGATTCTCCAGAGTGACCCTGACTGCCTTGTTTTCACCTAAATCATTCCATTCTTATGGGAGTTCCAAATATTTCTGCTTTTAAACATTCTTTTTAAATGTGAGGGCTTCCCCAAGTGCAGAGCCTACTGCCACTTACCTTCTACAAAAACCCTGTGCACTAAGAACTTGTGCAGTGACTGCAGTAAACACAAATCTTCCAACCATTTCCCAATAGTCAGGTATTTCTTTGTTCACATGTCAAGGCCTGCCACTTAAAGGTTTCTGTGACAGAGACTGTGATTTAGTAATATTATTGAAAACTACAGGCCTGAAAACATTTCACTGAACTCTGATTTCACGGGAGGAAATACAGCCTCTCAGGCCCTTCCACTTTCCCATATGGATGCTAGTGCAAACCACAGAACGCTACCTCTAGGAAGGATTTAAAAACTAAATGTATGAAGCAGTTTTCCAACTTTATGTCCTTTAAACAAACACCAGAAATGATTCATTACAGCCATGTGGATACACTGCTTGTTCCCTACTGCTGCCTGCAGCTGTTACACAATGTGAAAGACATTGCTCTGTACAGAAAAGGACTGGGCCATCTCTGCATCCTCTCTAGACTAGGATACAGACAGCCTATCCATAGACCATGTGGATGAGGTCCGGTCATGCCATAGTGCCCATGGTTTTAGTTTCCAAGGATTAAGGATGCCTTTTTGCTGCACCACTATTCTGCTTCTTCAGAGCTCAACCAAAGTTCTGACAGACAATGAACTAAAATATCTTTCACCCTCAAATGCTGGTAGGGTTCAGGACTCTCAAATCATGTTCCTGCACAGAACTGTGAAGGTTTCCCTTGCAAAATTATTTTTCAAGTCTTTATTAAAAAAAAAAAAAATAAAAAAAAATGTCCCTATCAAAGAATCTGTGTTAAGATGGTATTAAGATTCTTGAGACCAATACCAACACAAAATACCTCTGGCCATAGGTTTATTTTCACACAAGCCTTTGGTTTCTTGGTATAAGGCTATCAGATACTGTCTGGGGAGGGGAAATGTTTCCACAACTAAGTCATCCCTTTATTTTTTTAATCTGCAAGCTTCAAAACATCTAAAATTTGTCGAGAGGAAGTCAAAGTTACTGTAAAGCATCAGGTTTCTGAACGTCTTACCGTCAGCTCTCCTCCCACCCTGTAATTCACATACCTATTGACACAACTTTCTACACTTCAGAGCCTTGTTATTTCTTCAGTATCATCAATGCTGAAAGAGCAAGTGTTCCACAAGCTGCAGAACTGCAAAAACAGAAGTGTGAGACGGTCAGAAGAAAACACCAATATCAAAGATATTACAATGACAGTAGTAATTAGTAGTGCACCATTACAGGGAAATGAGTGCTATACCTGTAATGCTTCAAAGCATAATAATGCTTGTTCCTTGTTTTTTTCCTGAAGTACGTAGGACATAATGTGCACATTATGAAAAGTATGTCAGATCTGTTGCTACTAGAGTCAGCTTGCACAGCATCCAAAGAGACTGAAAATTAACATAACAGTTATTTGATGCACAGGTGAGTGCTTTCCTTTCCCCCCCCTAACTGCTGCAGTTCACAAGAAGAAAGTCCTGCGTTTTCATCACCATGCTCTCTCTCTCTCTCTCTCTCTCTCTGTCTTTTCCTGGTGGGATTCATGAAAACATGGCTGCACATGCCAGTGAAAGAGCTGGCAGTGCTGCATGCATGTGCATGCAGAAGGCTGTCCAAAGGAGGTTCTGAGCACACGGCTCTGGACAGCCAGCTCTGAGCAGAGAACAGCTGATAGCTACAACATGCAGGTGCTGCTCTCTCTATTATCACAAGTTCCAGTCATCTTTGTTCTGTAGGCAAGAAGGAGTAGAGTGGCCAGAAGGAGGTAAAAAAAATAATTTCAGAGAGTACCAATACATTGGCATAAGGTGTTCATCCCTACCTGGAAAAAGAGGAGAAGTAACAAGGACAGCTGAACTGCTCTAATATTTTGAATTCTAGGACACATATCTACGGTCACCTCTGCTATTAAGAGGAGGAGCTCAGGTGGCTTGGAAGGAAAGGATCCAGTGGGGCACGTTGACAGAATAAAAGCTATTACATTTTAGGCCTTTACTGAAGAATTTCAATGGATTTAATTTAATTTCAAGAGGGTTTTGAAAGCCAATATTGTGTAGCCTTTCATCCATAGTTATAAGCATGAAGCTTCCTCTTTTTTTTTAATGCATCTTTTGAGGTTTTTCAAAGCAATGGATTTTCTTTTGAAACCTCTCCTATTATAGCCTGTGCGATGCTCTATGAGAAAGGGTTTAATCCACACTGCTTCTGCTGTTCCCCCATAGTGTCAAAAAAGAGCAATGCAAATATTCACAGTATTATCAGACAGATACAGAGAATAGTTTTCTGCTTTCGTAATAGTCTAATTATATTTTTTGTCCAGTAGAGAAAGATCCATCCACTTTCCCTCATGACTTTGAGCCAGCACACATCTCTGGTCAGAACATTCCCCTTTGAAACACCGCGTGTTACCAGAAATCCCGTGGTTCTCCGCAGCGCCTGAAAATGCTGGCTATGAGTCAACAAGGAACTCCCAAAATGTTCCTCCTGCACAATACTTTGCTCCTCCTCGTTCTTTGCACCTTCCAGGTGAAGTCTGACCCACAAAACCTGTCTGCAAAACTACAGAAACACAGAGCCAGCTTCTCCACACAGGAGCTCCGACAGACATGTATGAGGAGCTCTTCCATGGCAGCCCCTGCTATTAAATGCAGAATTCCTACCTGAAAAGAACCTTTCCAGCACAACAACGCACATCATCTTTGACCGGTCTCTGGATCATGACCATCTCATGTGAAGGATGGGTCTCAAGAAACGCTGGGCCAAAAGCTGAATTTAGAGGCCAGTCTCACCCTTCCTCTGTAGAGGCGTTATGAGGGCCCCAGCTTCTCTGAAGCTGTCTCCTGCCAGCTGCAGCCTCCTTTCCCAATCCCACGGCCTCAGAACAGGCCCCTAACCCCCATCTTGCTCCCTCAGCTCAGGTTTTGCTCCCCGGGCTTTACAGCTCCTGTACCAACAAACAAGCAGCTCTAGGAATCCGAAGCTCTCTGACAGAGCCCTGGCCTTTCTGAAGGACCTGTCGTCTCCTGCATTGCACTGAGAGCAAATAATCTGCACGTTGGCCTTTGGATCCACTGACGACGGCTTCCTTCTATGCACAAGGCCTCGCAATCCACACACAAAGCTGCTTTTCTGTAAGCTTGAAACATCACCTAGTTCTAGTTTTCTGATTGCAGCTCCCGTGTTTTTTTTCTTCACAAGTTCTGCATTTGCATTTCCATCTTAAAAGATACTACGTATAAAGCAACACTTCAAAAAATGATGCTACTGGATTAGAAACAAACTGCTTGATGATGCATTGTGCCGGAGCCTAAAATATTCACCAGAACTGGATTGCAGAAAATAATCTGATGTGATTTTTACAGTGCCAGTCCTGAAAATATAAATGAAAAACACAAAACAAACAACCACCAAAAAAAAAAAAAACACCAACCCCCCCCTCCCCCCCACAAAAAAAACACACCTTGTATCAGTAGTCTTAGATGCATGCCCTTACCAGTTAAAGCAGCAAAATTCCTCACTGCATTTTGCAGCAAGGAAAACAAAGTGTGTGGCACACAGACCTTTTGCGTTGCTCACATTTTTAACTTTCTGCACTCACCAGCATAAATCATCCAACTTTTAAAGAAGTCTGACACTTGGAGCCAGGACTTGTTCAACATGCTGTAACTGCTTAGTTTAGCTGAGCTCTGAAATTACTTGCAAGTGAAGTGTTTGGAAAAAAAGCAAAACTAATGGTGATTTTTGACCTTTTCTCCAAGTCTGTAAAGGGGAAAAATGAAATACATAAAACATACAAAGATCCTCACCAGCAGAATAACTTTCTGTGAAGCAAAACTCAAACCCCTGTACGTTACCACAGAACTGAAGAAAAAAAATCAAGTTTACTGCATCATGCTTTGACGAGAATAGTCCTTCCCCAAAGATGAAGAACTGACTGACATGCAAGACTTGCTATTCTCAAAGTCACATGAGAAATAAGAGACATGCAGAATAAAAATACCGGAGACATGATGTAAAGTGGTGAATAGGCTAAAATTAGTTCACATTTTCTTTTTTCTTTTTTCTTTTTTTTTTTTTTTTTTTTTTTATGAAGAGAGTGTAAGGTTTTATTATTATTATTAAACTGAAAACCTTGGAAAGCATGGAAAGGTGAAAAATGGAGATTTTAAATCTAAATGTACAAACACATGCATGTGAACCTATACTTGTACCAGCATAACTGCACGCATCCATTTCTCCTTCCAGGAACGCTAATTCAAAGGCAGTTGTTATAAAAATAATGAGAAAAATACCACCACATCTCCCTCATAAAAAAAACATGAGGAATAACATCAGGAAATTTTATAATGACTAGGCAATGTCTATTCTGGTCTCAAAGACAGATTGCCAATATTCAGCATTTTTCCACCCCAGGTTTTGTGCCTTACCTTTCCAAATGTTCACTTGCTTTATGAAGACTAAAAATAAAGGCTTCTTTCTTCTTATTGTAGTGTTAATATTTTCACTTGAAGAATGGGAATACTTCTTATTCCTTCTATTCATTTTCAGTTTAAGCTGGTATTACTCAAAGCTGGAATGAAATACAATGAGATGACTGAGTATAAAATTAAAGTTTTATAGTCAAAGGTCAGCAAATTGGTTAAACGTCCTTTGAGTTATAGAAGCAGCAGCAGCATATAAGTACAGGACAGCAGATTACAAGTTCAGCTTCTCTAGGCTGCAAGCAAAGCTGAATTATTTACTTTGTGATGTCTCTGTTGAGCTCAGTAAATCTAATTCTAGACAGCATTGAAATTTTTTGATACACTACAGTCACTTTCTTCAAGTGAATGTAGAACTGTGACATGGATGCAAGTTGTTGATTAGCTTACACAGTTAAAAATATATTTTCATGACCCCCCACTTCCCCTCTACTCCAAGCCTGCCTGTACAAGTGCACTGATTAGGCTGCAAACCTCTTTGGAAAAGCAGCACTGCTATAAAGTCATCAAGAGGATGTGGTAAGAGAAGAGGCATGCTCTCTGTGCCAAAGGGTGCGTAAAAAAATAGTGGAGAACAGCACTAGGAAAGGGGGTGGGGGGAAAGGAGGAACACATTATTTGAAGCTGGGTCTGACTGGGAGTTATTTTTTTCCTAGCAGCCTGCACATTGCTGTGTTTTGGATTTGTGGCCAAACCAGTGTTGATAACACACCTAGTGCTTGCAGGGTGTCAAGGCTTCCTCTGCTGCTCACTCTGCCCCCACAAGGAGCAAGCTGAAGGGGGTAGGAGGCTGAGAGGGGACCCAGCTGGGACAGCGGGCCCCAAATGACCCAAGGGTACTTTATGCCATGTAACACAAGGCTCAGCAATGAAACCGGGGCACTGCTCTGTCCACAGTAGCCATGGCTCTGAGGCTAGATAGCAATCGCCTTGTGGGAAGTGGTGACTGATTTGTCTTCCCATCACCTGGGTTTTGTTCTTTGCTTTTTCTTTTTTTTTTTTTCTTTCTTCCTCTCCTCGTGCCTCACTTTTTCAACTGTCTTTACTTTGACCCACAAGTTTTCTCACTTTTGCTCGTTCAGTTCGCTCCCCATCCTGCTCTGGGGGAGGGCTTAGCTGCTGGCTAGGGTGAGCACACCATACACTGAGAATAGGAAGTAATCACAATCATACTGATAGTCAAGTTATAAATTAACCTGGACATTTTGAAGACTATATTTTCTTTTTCCTTTTTTTTTTTTTTTTTTAAGTTCACTGTACCTGAATAATCACATGACTAACAGAAAATGCAGACATTTCTCTTCAATGTCCTCCTTGCAGTTAGAGACATTTTTAGAAAAAAATAATTAAATAGTTAACACTGTTGTTCTCTGAATGCTGAACCAGCTACAGAAGTAAGCATAACTGCTCATATCTAGACTGCACAGGCCAAATTTAGGAAGAACTGTGTGCTGGTTTACAGGTGGACACTCAACATAGGGCACGCAGGCTGCCATGAAGCGGGGTCTGTGTCAATAGACTTGGCCAGCAGTCAATGAGCTTGCCCAGACTCTATGGCAGCAACCTGCTTCTGGCAGTTCATTAATAGTTATTCCTCTTTGCTTACCTATTTGTTCCTCTGCTGTTCAGGCCTCTGGGAGAAACTCAGGCTGCTGAAGTCAACTGCACTAACAGAGCAAGAACATCACTGGTAGGAACTGCTGGAGCAAGAATCCCAGGTTACAGCTATAATCACCCCTTCCACACCAAGTTCAAAATTATTTTTCCTCAGATATAGTTGTCTGATTGTGACAGAAAAGGGCATGATTTTGAGAGGCATGTGATGGTCGTCAATGCATACAGTTTAAGTTATGTGCAAAGCCTTTTAAAGTCTATTTGATGCGGATGCTGAGAGAAGCAGCAGACCTGCGTGCCGTGGCAGAGCTCAGTCCATTTGAAGGTGCTCCATTTGTAGAGGAGCGGCCCTCACTGCGGTGTAGGAAGCTACGTAGGTGTGCACAGTGCCTTTCCGTCCTGAGGCCTTTCTAGAGCAGCGAAACGCAAGGCACGCATGCTGACACACAAAAGCTTCTGCGGCAGCTGTCCTGCCTGGCGCGCCGCTGATTTAACGCTTTCTCCTTGAACCAGTGCCGCTGCTTTGAAGCCGCAGCCCGAACAAAGCGCACTGCTTGGTAGTCACAGCAGCTCTATCTAGAAAAAACGTTTTTTATAATTTAAAAAAAATGATTACAAAATGTGTGTGCTTACAGAAATGCAGCCACAGAGACGATGCATGGGAGACGTTCAGCTGAAACGTTTCAGCGCAAGCTGCCTGCCGCCGCCCTACATAGAGGACAGCCTCTGCACACAAACCACAAGAAAAGGAGGCCAGCGGCCTCCACTGCTTCGACTGCTCGGTGGTAGCTGCACTGAAACGTTGCTACTTTCATGCTAAGTGAACTCAATCTGAACAACAGCAAGTGGCCCCTTTCCAAATAAAATAATAGGAACTGCCTGGGGTGAGTTACCCCACTGGCCCTGACCTCCCCAGCGCAGGCAGCAGACTGCAGCTGCGCGGCTCAGCCTGCACCAGAACCGCCTGGCTTCAAGTGCCTCTGCTGGCTGAGCTGAGGATGAGCAGCGGGATCCCTGCAGGGGCTCTCGTCCTCTGCAAGACCCTTCAATTTCCAGCTCCGCAGTTTCGCTCTGGGCAGCGCGAACGGCAGAGCTGTGCCTGTCCTCCCGTCCTGGTGGTGGCAAGAACCAGGGAAGGCTCTGAACACTCTGGGCATGAGACAGCTGGAGGAGATGCTGAGAAGGAAAGGGAGGCGTCTTAGAGAGAAACCTCTCTGCCCTGTCTCCCTCTGCTAACACCTCTCCTCCCATCACCAGTCATCCCATCAGCTTCTCTTCTCTAATTAAATGAGTTTGGAGCTGACTTGGAAAGAAAGCCAGTGACTGCAGCACAGAAACGTTACTCACTTGCTTGGTGATGAAGTAGGAGCCTGTTTGGTCAGTCAGTGGCTTAACTTACTTTATTTTAATGAATTATCCTAGAAGTGGGATACAGAGAGGTGCCATGTCAAAACAGCCTGACATCATCACCAGACAAGCTTCAAAATGAGTTCCAAGTGGCAGCATTTGTGTGGAGCCTCACACACCGCGTAGCAGCCCCAGCCAAAGTAAACCACCTTCTCCCCCCGTAAGGAGCCGTCCCAGTACCCCACGTCAGGAGCGATGCCAGGGCGGCGTGCCACCGTGCGCTGCCCCCGCCCGCTCACACGGAGCCAAGACCTGAAAACTGACTACAAGGCAAGTTATAAACTGAGAGTCTTTGATTCAGAAAAAAAAAAAAAAAAAGAAAAGCATGGAAATACATGAGTGTGACATCTGCAGCTCATACGATCTGCTTGAGAAATATATGAATTTTTGAACTGTGGAGTAACTTAGTAATCAGTTCAAGGGTGTGCCATTTTTCCATAAAAATCCATCACATAGAACTATTTTCTGTGAAATATTAAAATTAGCAGGTTGTAAATAACAAAATCTAGATCATTACTGGGGTCCAGGTAACATAATTACAGCACTGAGACCTGCTCTGAGGAATCGACATGCTCCACCCCTGACACGTCCAGAGGCTCCAAAGCAACCCCGTTTGCCAGCAGGTTCGGTACAGGGCTGGGAGCGCAGGGATTTGCCTGACAAGACCCTTTGCCTTGAATGTGCTCCTGGTGGCTGTGACAGGCCTGACGACATCTCTGCTCTGCTTCCTATTAAATTTTTAAGTAACTTGCTTTCAAGTTCTGAGCCCAAGTTTCCTGCCCCAAGTAAACCAAGTATCTGTGCTTTTTTTTCTCTTTTTACTTTCGTTTTCTACTTCTGCTTTTCTTTGCCGGTCAGCAGGCTTGGAGCTCAGCCCCAGCAGCACACCAGGCTTCCCAGCCCTGCAGCTTGCCCTTTTTCTGTGCAACTGATCAGCACTTCCTTTTCTATTTCTAAATAAAATAAACTTGAAAGCTATGCCTTAAAACCCGCTAAAAATAGTGCCATGTCTGCTCTCTTGCAGCTAGAGCTGTTCCCTGATGTCAGTGCTAGGCAGGGGGAGGCATCTCGCAGTTTCTGGATGAAGGAAGAAGCCCGGCAAGTAACACACTGTAAGAAGGGAGCATCTTGCTGAGACTGAGCCTGGCTGGAATTTGACTCCACAATATCACAGATCAGAAAACAAACTAACTTCTCAAAGCCTTAGTACTACTCTTATTCTGCATGCAGCTGAAGGCAGCATTAGGGCAAGAGGTTTCTGCCCCCATTCTCCCTCAAGCCCGCAGCCACTAGGAGGAAAAAAGCCTTCGTACCAGCAACACGCGTTTCCTCACAAGGGGCAGGTAAGAGCCCTGCAGCAAGCAAACAGGACATCACAGCTTGCTTGATCTATTCTCATCCCAATTTTTGACATGTTCCCCTCCCGTGTAATGCCCAAAGTACCTTTGTCAGTGAGATTTATTTTATTTTTTAGGATTCAAGCTGATCGTGCTGCTCATTTGCAGTGGCACGCAAGACACGCGCCCACCCTAGGGAACAGGATGTGCACCTACACCACGCACACGCTTGTTTGACCACTGCACACGTTAGCAGGGCTTGAGGGGAAGCCCTAGACCAAGAGCTGCACCATCCCGGAGCCTGGGGCTTAGCGCTGACTCCCACGGCTATCACTCACCACACTCAGCTGCCTCGTGGGAGATTACAGCTTGGAGCACACCTCTTCCACCACACGCTTATTGTAACTGTAGTCCCTGATTAAAAAAAAAAAAAAAATACCTTCAAGTAACACCAAACAAAAGCCTACAACCAGTTCGGTGTGTTCAATCAAAACAGTTCATGGACTGCCCGAGTCTGATTCCTCATGTTACGGGAAGTTTTATTAAAAGCAAGTTTCAAGAAACAAAATTATGTGTTTCCCCAGCGCCTCTCACAAGGTTAACCACATTCTGCTTCAGCATTAGAAGATTTTTAAAAATCCCAGTAAAACTACAAGCCACTTGGAGCGTTATTCTCCTCTTCCCCAACGTGTTCATGGGACGCTTCGGTGACCCTGAGGAGGAGGGAGCGTCCCTGTGAGCCCAGCCACTGCATTTCTCTGGTTCCACCAGCAGCCCTTTGTGCCCAGCAGCAATCCGGACAGAGCAGGCTGGTTTGGTGCAATCTGGAAGGCTGTTGTAATAACCGACAGACCGAAAACACAGGGAAGGGTTTGGCAGCTGTATAAAGCTCCCCCGAGCTCCAGTCCCCGCAGAAGGGCACCAGCCCCAGCAACCAGCATGACCAGCCAGTCTCAGGGAATCCAGCAGCTTCTGCAGGCAGAAAAACGTGCCAAGGACAAGCTGGAGGAAGCCAAAAAAAGTAAGCATCTGGCCTGTTTTTACTGTCTTTTTCTACTGTAAGCTCTTCAGAAATACAGCGGCTCATGCAAAACCGGCATTATTTCATCTGTACGCAGCACAGATGGGCTGCTTCTATTCTTTTTCTGTGCCACTTTCCTCCCACTCGCATCAGTGCCGTGCCCTGACGGCAGTCAGGCATTTATCCCAGCCTTTGGTGCACGGCTTGCTCCAAATCGTGTGCACACATGTGCTTGTGTGTGCGTGCATGCACGTGCCTCTTCACACTGAACAAGGTTTTCTTTGTTATGTTCGTCCTGTCAGCTAGATTTATTACTGCTTTTTCTCAATGCCAATAATGTCATTACATCCTTCTTTAGGCATTTAAACGAGAAACCTGCACACCTCTGGCTGCCAGCTCTGGAGAACCAGACTCCAAACTCTGTATTTCTCTTTACATAATATTTTCAGTGTTCCTCTTTACTTATGAAAACCAGTAACTTGCCTTTTAATCTCAGCTGGGCTTCAAAAAGAAATACATGGAAACAAATGGAGACTTCAGAGTAATAATAATAGTAAAAGCCACAGCACAATCCCAAGAAATGTCAGGACTGTGGTCATTGCTGTAAGTCTTATTATAAGCAATCACTGAGTGATCAAATGGTAATTTTAAAATAAACATCTTTTTTTGCTGAATGCCTAATGCCCAGTGTAAAGTATGTGTAGATACCCAAGAATAATAAATTCAACCTTTTTTATTCTAGTCAAATCTAAGCGAATAGTAGTAACAACAAATAAGAAAAGGAAATTAACATCCCAATAAAATGGGAAAAAATGTAGCTGAATCTGCTAATGATCTAAATAAAAGAAACAATTCATCTGTCAGTCTTCCTGTTATATATTTCCTTCATTTTCTGCATTTCTCTCTCATTGACTTAATACAAAATAGTCACCGTAATGTCTCCTGAGCGTAGATACCGACCACACAAGTCACTGGCCTGCATTAGCCATGAAATGTTAACGCTGTTTCATGGAGAGATCTTGATTTAGAAACCAGCAGCAGGAAACGTCATCCTCTGAACTCAACTAAAACGCATGAAGATATCACGTGCTGCAGGAGACTATGATGAAAGATTTTGTTTTTAAGGCAGAAATAGAAGCTAGAGAAAAACTATTTGTCTAGTTTGTGTATCTCTTCTAGTACAAATCAGCATTGCTGTGTGCTCACTATTTGTGTAACATGTTAATTTGTACAGCAGCACACAGAAAATGAGCAGAAAAGCAACACCCCTTTCCTAAGCATCCAGCCACTGCCTGCACCTTGTAGCCATGCAAAAGCAGAGGAAGAACATTTTTCCATCTTCATAACACAGAAGACTCACAAAAAGAGGGTGTTTGGGGGCGCTGCTCCTAGCTTGAGAGCAAGGAATTATTAGGGAGGGATTCAGCCTTTATGCAGCCAGCTGAGGTGCTCTCAATGGGATGTTGCCTCTCTTCTTATGTAGGGCAAAGGAAACAAATGTTTCCCCAGAGCAAGAAGCAAGAAAGCCCATGATCTGGGAAGGCACAGCCTCGTGGAGGGAATGGGTGTTAGGTCTGAACAGGGACTGCAGAATCAGGCCTTTAGCTATGATAGCTTGATGCTGCTCACCTTATTTTATTTTTCAAATCCAAAAAATGTCACTTCAGCTTTTTCTGAAACAGACGGTTTAAAAAAAGGTTTAAAAGTTTAATAAATTAAGAAACCCCCAAATGCAAACTATCGTAATAACACAAATGATGACTGCTAATGAGAGCATCTTGCTGAATCCGGGCACGAGCTCCAGCTGCACTTACTCTGCTCTGCTGGCGAGCACACTCCTGTCCCCACCTCAGCCCCACGCACAGCAGGCGTGAGAGGCACAGGGCTTCCTGCAGGTGACCCCTCTCCCAGCCCCTGAGCCAGCAGCCTGAACTGAGCCACTGCCTGCGCCTACCAGCGCTGCAGTGCTGAGGTAGAACTTACTCAGTAGCTCCAGAAAACCAACTATTAAAAACTCTGTCATCAGTAAAAACAGTACAACTATTTTATCGGTATGATTTTCTTCTCTATTCCTTGCCTCTGCTCTCACACATCAGACTGATCCCAGCGTACCGGGGGTTTTCCTTGTCCTTCACCTCAGTGTTTCACAGCAGTGTCACTGTGCCACCTGACAGACCTAAACCAGCATGGCTTAAATAACTTGGGACAGGGACAAAAAGGGTTGTTACAGCCAAAGTCTGTTGTGGCCAGCATAATTTCAGCAGCTTCTTCCCCAGAGTGATTCTGTAGTTGAGTCAACGTAAGGTATTGCCTCGTTTGTTTCAGACAGAGTACAGAATCTAAAACAAAAGGCAGTGCATGGCTATCCACTGTCACAGGTGAACCAGCACACACAGTGTGGAGGAACGAGGCGAGGCGATGCTGCTTCACTCAGCAAACAGCAGCCCAGACCCACCCCGTACCAGTTCAGATCAGCAGCCCCTGCTCAGGGCTGGGCACACACGGCTCTGGGCTGCAGGTGAAAGCGCTGAACCTGCCCCGCCGAGCTGTAAGCATGACCTCTGCTGTCACTGCAAACAGCCCTCGAGCAGCAGCACCGTCCCAGTGCGTCAGGTTTTTCTATTTACCTTGTAACGTGAGAAGGAAGAACGGCAGGTCGTTCGTGGGACACAACCAGGAAAAGGCATTTTCAAGGAAATGTGATTACCAAAACTCTCCTTATGCAAAACCTGCAGTGTTTACAGCTGATATGCACATCACCAGATCAAAAGGTAGCATGGACACGCCTAATGCTGTATATAAACACATCATGGGCCTCCTTACTGACACACGCAGCTGCTGCAATGCAAAATCCACTTTGCACAACTGGAAAATCGACACCAGAATTCTATTTATCTTCATAAAGTGAAGCGGAAGTGTGGTGCTACAGCTCTTCTGTGCATGCCTTTTCACACCTCTTGCTCAATGCCCTTTATCTGGCCTTGCAATATTCTTTATCGTATCACGGGCTGATGTCATTTACACCTGGCCATTTATTAATAGCTTGTTGGTAAATGCACTTGTGCAAGGCTGAAGCTACCAAATTGATTAAACATGAAAAGAGCCTGCATTTCTCTGTCCTTGTGTACACTGCACTGCTTTGTCTATCATTTTGTCTTTAAGCATAATTTGGATCCCAGAAATAGCTTCACATTATCAGAGCCAAGATGTCGATTCCTGAAAATCCTTCTGGGTAAAACAAGGGAAACAAATGTAACGTGAACACTGGGTTTAGCAAAACTTGGTTTCCTATAGATTTTTTTTTTTTATATATTTTGGCTTGAATTTCTAGTTTCTAATGAAAGTGAAAGCTCAGATGAAAACTTTCAGGAAGTCAGGTTAGAAAACAACTATTAAGCAAAATAAGATACATATAAATAAAAGAATTGCATCAATTACATCCATCACACTCACTTGGCTAACATCCAGGATATATTTTAACTAGCAAAAAAGCTATACATACACTGATCAGCTGTTTCTATTGTATTTTCATTAATATTGCAAACGTCTGCCCAAAATGAGCATTCCTAAATCCCATTTAGCAACGTAGCACTCTTAAAAACAACAGAAACGGTCCTATTTAAAGAAAAATGTCATTAAATTTTGGCAACTTATGCATATGACATTATTTCTGTGCAGAAATTTAGCTAGAAACCTAGATGTTCTGTTTGAAAACAGCAAGCCAATTTTAGCAACTCTGTTCTAGGAATGTAAGATAACTTCGTGTTTAAGCAAATTAGAATGCAAAATTTTCAGAAATATTCTCTTGCGAGACCTTAAAAAAAATAGTAACAAAACTGAGCATTTTGAACTTAACCTGAGCTAGTTCATTAACATCAGAGCAATACCTACAAAGAATGTTACCTTTCTCCAGGCTAATAATGCTTTTCCACAGGTTAGATAAGACAATATCTAGTACAGGGCTGACTTGCTCCAGAGAGTAAAATGATTAAGATTAGTCCAGTTCGATGTGATTCTAGAAGCTCCTGACTGTCCCCTTCCCTCCTGCTCAGCTACCATACCCCTGGACAGGAAACCTGGGCAGCACAGCTGCTTTGCTGCTCCTAATATTCAAGCACAGGAAGAAAAGACAAGCAGGCAATAGTAAACCTGGCCCTTGGGGCAAAAGTTTCCTCAAACATGGAGTTTTCCACACCTCTTCTTTTTAGTCCTGGAGTAAATCTCTCAGGGTCACATTGTTTTGCCCATCCTCCTGTATTTCTAGCCCTCTTTTTGTATGATCTTGGCTGAATTTCAGTGCTCTGCTACCTGTAAGGACATAAGCTTTAATTTCAGCTCAGCTCTTTGATACAGAGAATCCTGTCCAGAAGATCAGTAAGACTTTGAAAAGGCAATCCCTTATTGCACAACTAAGGTAGCAGACAAGTGGTTAATAACAGACTGATTAATTAATTTTGGTTTGCCTCTAGTGAAACAGCAGGTTAAGCTCTAGTTTCTGCTTAACTTAATCAGGTGCAGCATATGCACGATCGCATATGTTGGCAGTTGCTGATTCTGTCCACAACGTTGTTGAACTAGCAGTAATTTACTCACAGCTTTTCCACTTAATTAAATAGGAAGCAGCAGGTTCCTGCTGTGCCAATCCTAAAGGCACCGTGGAAAAAAAAGAAATGGTTGCCACCCTACAGTGACACCCTATGTATTGTGCTTACTCCAGTGCACTGTCAAGATGTGACACGTATGTGTATACATACTTTTTGTTCACTAGCTGCTTTGTGAGAGGCAGATGAACTGTTGTTTTACAGCTAATCCCTTTCTATTGTGTGCATTTAAAATGGATTTATTTATCTATCCTGTGGCCAAATATGCAACATATTTACTACAGATGGACCCCCAGATGGAATTTGAAATTAAAATCCCACTGATTTTGAAATAATGTAATTTGCTATAGAGACCCAGTTCTTCAGCTGGTGAAGTTGGCAGAGCTTCTTTGTAGTCACTCCCTCCAATTACAGCTCCAAAGAATCTCCTCCCGGCTCCTTCTCTCAAGGAAAACTCTGTAAAAGGCCGGTCAGCTCTAAATTTGGAGATGAGAATAAGAACAACTTCAAAACATGAACCTAAACCTCATTTTGAACTTCGGTGTCCAGACTGATGTCAGGCTTTTACATGTATCAGTCAGTTCACGCATACTGGTCCCAAGACTTCATACAGCAAGAGACAGAAGCTGAGGGAATCAGCTTTCATCAAACAAATACAAACTTTGGGAAGGTGTGTGCTAGGTTTCAACCTGCATCAGTGCCCCCTGTACAAATTAGATTGCCTTGGTGGCAGGAGCACTCGGAGACATGCAATAAACTACACAAAAGAACACTCCCCACTGGTGAACTGTCAGTAAATCTGTTGAGCTCCCCACCATACTCCTCCTTGCTGTAAAATGCTGTACACGACCACCTCTCACCTCTCCTCAGGTCCCACAGTCAGTACATCCACAAAAGTCAATGGTCCAGGAACCAACACTTCAAATGGAAATTCCTGTTTCAGGCATCCCTCAGCTGATCTGCAAATAATAGCTTTAGAAGGGGCCACCAGCTGCATGTGTAATTTACTACAGGATCAGGAATTTTACCTGGGATTTTGTTGAATCACAGAGGTATCACCAGCAAGCGTCTTCCTCACAAATTCGGCTTTGCTGTTGTGCCCTGCCCAGGGGAAGGGGAATACCCCACGTCACACCTGAGAAGGCTTCAGAAGCCCAGTACAGGTGTAGCCCATCTGATACAGCAGCATGGAAAAACAAATCAAAACTACTAATGCTCCTCTCCCTAGCTTCGTTGGAGAATACTGTTTAGGATTTCAGAAAAGGTACAACTTTCTGAAAGTATTCATGTTGCTCAGTGACATCAAGTAAGTGGTTCCAATAAATAAATAAACAGATAAATATCAGGGTGCTTCATGCACCAAATTGAGGTGCCTTTTTCAGTTGTCCAGTCTTTGTGCTCTCATTCTGGTGATGTCCTAATTTACACAACTAAGCAATAGCTTTTTTAGCCTCTGGAGCCCTTTCCCCTGGTGAGGGAGCAGGAACATCCCAAAGTTCAGGTTGTACAGAGGAAAGAGACCAACAACACAAATCAGCATCAGCCCAGCAGCCTCAAATACAACATATCAACATCCAACGCAAGGGTTTTACAGCTAGTGACTTTTTCCTCACAAAGGAGCAGAGCCCTGGGAAGATCCACGTGCCTTACTGAGTTTCTGTAAAGCAGGCAGGCAGGTGCATCTCCGTGGGGCGGTCACAGCATGTTCAGTACTTGCTTCATGTAAGAACTTCAGTATTGCATGCCCATCAATCCTTCTGCTTTTATCCTTTGCATAACATCCCCGCGAGACCCAGGATGTACTCGGGCCTGGTTCTGCAATGATTTACATGGGTTTAATTTTACATACCCTTAGGATTTTACCTAAGACAAAGTAACTATTATCAGTGCACAAAACAAAGTTGGCAAACACAACCCTTTCCAGAAAGAAGAGTTTAATTTCCACTACAGCCTAAAATGCCACTTCCATAAGGATGCAAGATCACCATCCTTTTAAAAATAAAATTATGCATATATAAAATCACTTTCATATTTTTTACACGTTAGTAGAAATAATACCATCAGCTTCCTTTTTCTCTTAATCATTCACCTCTGCGTTTAGCAGATGTTAGGGAAAAAGGGTGGGGGAGAAGAGGACAGAGCCTGAAGGTTGCAACTCAGTTTGGTAGTGGTTAAGATGTACCTCGCAGCATGCTGGAAATCTGCCAGCTCTAAACAGCATCCAGTTGGTGCAGGATGAAGGGATCCTGGCAGCCAATCAATACAGAAAAACTTACAGAATAACGTCTTTTCCAATCACTGACAACTAAAATCTGTTATCTGGCTGCTACTATTGCTGATGAAGGAAAGATAGATATTTATTTAAACACAAAGCTGTGATAAAAAAAAAAAAAATCATTTCTGTTATGAGAAAATGCATAGTTGCAAAAAGACTTGTGTTGTTAGCAAACCAACACGCTTTTCATGTTGATGCCCAGGGAGCTGGGCTCAGAAGATGTGTGCTGGTGAGACGGGCTCTCAGGCACAAAGTGCCCTACGAGCTCACTTGGCCCCTCTGACAATCCCAGGCAGATAGCACCGCTGTTCACTTTGCTCACAGCTTCGTCCAGGAAACTTCCACACCAGGTAGAAATACCTCTGATCTTGAGCAATTCACCTCTTGAGATGAAGTGACACCTGCAAAGTAAATCCTTGTTTCTCCTCTCCATTAGGAAAGGGAAAGAGGCTGAAGCAGGCCAAAGAAGAAGCCATTGCTGAGATAGACCACTACCGGCTGCAGAGGGAGAAGGAGTTTAGGAATAAGCAAACAAATGTAAGTAAGAAACGTGCATGGCCTTTTTTTGTCAGTATGCTCACTAGTAGAACAAATTGCTTCAAACAGCTTTACCTGGACACTTTCCACAACCTAACGTGACCACACTGATTGAACCCAGCTGTCACACAGGCATCTCCTGTGACGTGCAGATGCTTCATTTGGGCTTTTTCACTGGCATGGAATGCATTTGTACCTGGTACTGTAGATTTTAACACTAAAATTGTCTAGATTCTGTATTTGGTTCACACTTGCCCTTTTGAAGACGTTAACTCCCTCAAGTAAAATGCCTTCAGGTTCTCCTTCAATTCCAGACAGATCTTGATTCTGCCCTGAAACTGGAGGTTGAAATAAGGTGGATGTTTCAGTAATAGTGACGATTTAAAATCCTTCTTTCTATTTCTGTTCCACTTTAGCTTTTTGTCTGCATACAACACTGCACCTCTGGTGAAATCAAATCATCCAAGCCTTGGGGTTTTTCCTATCTTCATAGTAAAAGTGGTCTGGATAATATTTTCCTATTTGAATTGCAGTTCATTTTATACATTTATGCCATCTTGCTGTCTTCCCTAGTATTTTCATAAAGATTCACAAACCGTTCTCTTTTACTTGGTGACCTCCCTCTTATATTTTTGTTCTTGTGTTGTTTTGTTTTTACTGCCAAAAAAAAAAGCCAAGGAGGGCAAATGAAAACTGCTTTATAAACCTGCTATTTCAGTCACACTTCACATAAGACATTCTCCAGCAGAGATCATAAGCCTTAAGGATATACGTACGCAGTCTCCAACAAACACTGTCAGCCACCAGCCACACCATCACACTGCCAGGCCAGGTGGTGTTGTCTCAAACATAAAATATCAGATTTTTACTGATACTAAAATAAAGTAAAAATACGCCTACAATTTATTCACCTTTTCAGTCAAAACGAACTTCTCACTTTAGGTCGGGAATAGCAGAAGAGAAAAAAGCCCTTCTTTGGTGTGAATTGAATTTTTTCATCCCAAACAAAGCTGCAAGAAAAGGCCACTGTTTGTCAACTGAGCGCGTTACACAAACAGGCCAGAGCAGACATTGCTCCTCAAATGGCAGCACGCGGCTATCTGTACCCATCACTGCAGTCCTCCCTCATGTTCCCTGACCCCCTTGTGTCGAACATTTATCTACCCCAGACAAATGTCATCGTTATTTACCTGTGCCTGGAAGGCAGGCAGGAGTTCCAGCTAAGCCAGTGAGGTCTGATACCCACTTCACTTTGCTGGTTCAGGTGTCCAGGCACAAACACATGTTCCTTCTCATCCTTCTGTGTTGCCATATCCTTGCTTGGGTAACTTCTCTCATACCACAAGAAGTTCCACTTCAGTCCGGAACAAACAATGGCAACAAAAACAATGATTAATTTGAAGTTAGAGACAACTAGAAAGATTTTTTTTAACATATAAAATTTAAGCCCAGAGCTCAAGCTGATTTTGATAGTGCTCATAGTGTTTGTATTTGGGGTCTAAGGTCACTGAACTCTGGAGATGTGAACCCTGGCTCCGAATTTGTGGTTTGTGTAACGTGTAATGTTTTGCCAACTTTGGAATGACACTAACATTAGACCAGTATAGGCAAGATAAGGGACAGGCCTTCAAGGTCAGCAGAAATCACAGACTAAGCAGAACGTTGCCTGCATGCTGACAAGAAAAAGATCTTCAAAATCAGAAGCAGAAAAAAAGGAGAAAGAAATAAAGGAAGGAAGAAAGGAGAGTAAGAATTGATCTCAGATTACGATATTAGCACGGTCCAGGAGAGCAAGTTCCCAGTCTACAGAGGCTCTTCTTCAGATTAGAACGCTCTCCTTGAGGTTTTGCGAAAGTATTTAGTAGCTGGATAACACGCAACCATCTGGGACCTTTGGAAAGTTATTTTGCCCAGTGGAAAAAAAATCAACTTCATAAATCCAGTTTAAGCTGTACAATCCTTCCCACATGAGGCCCTTACAACTTGTCTAAAAGCTAAAATAAAATGCCAGCTAAAAATAGTTACTATAGAAAACAATCTTCTTTTCCCAGTGTTTACTATTGTGTCTACATCCTGTATATCTTCCAAATCATAAAATGTTTTACATCTGGAGTGCAGACAAACTTCATACTACGTTGCCAGGTACAGATAATTGCAAAGGTGATTTGTGCAAAAGGAGATCTTCATTCAGCTGCTTTTCCTTCTCTCAAGGACTAAGTTGGGCTGAAATCACATGGAAAATAAAGCTAACGACGCCTCCCTTTGTTTGTGGTCAGCCTCTAGGTACCCCACTACCCCCACAGGTTAGTTCAGCTGCTAGTCCCTGCCAGAAAACTGTGGCAGGAATAAGAAGGATACGTTATTTATTCCTTTCTTACTTTGTGTGCAGAAACGTCTTCTGCTCTCCTCCATGGAATTCTCTGGCTGAAAACAAATTTCTCTCTTGCTATCTGAAGGACTTTTCCACAAGGGAAGAATGCAAGGGATGTTGGAGCAATGGGGGAGGAAGGAACAAAGCCACGGATTTGGAACGTGTGCATCTGTTTACAACATAACCTTGCTAAAATGTTCAGCAAGTCTAGAGTCAATTAAATTCTAAGCGAATGTCCTGATACTAACTGTGCCAGAAGCTGTCTGGTATTTTGCCAGATAAGAAAATGTAACATTAAAAGACCTTGTCTGAGGCCTGTTGAGGGTTATACATCAGTAGCTGCTGAAGACTCTTCAAATACTCTGAAACTCTAATTATGCATTTTCAGGAAGGCTTTCCCATGTTTTGCTCCTTAGCGGTGCTCACATTTATTCTCAGTGAGGCCAAATGAAGCACACTAGTGCTAAAACTTAGTTGACTAGTCATTAAAATAGAAAACAAATTAAAATGAATGGTATAAAAGACAAAACATGTACAATGTTGTTCCCACAGCAAGCTAGGAAACTTGCATTTCATGGGGAGATACCCATTGCTAATGAGCATATGAAAGAGTTCCCTCGAATCCTGTTTCTATGTGTACGGTTCAACCTAGATCACACCCTTACTGTTAGAAAACACTGTGACATGTTTGCATTGTGTTTATGCTAGATGATAAAGAGAAGTACAATAAACATGGTCATATACAATGCCTTTTTTGCTTAGAGGGCTTCTGCTTTTCAGGTAATGGGCTCCCAAGGTGACCTCTCTGCTAAAATAGAAGAGCAAACAAAGGAAACCATCCAAAAACTCACCAGCAGCTACCACAAGAACAAGGAGAGCATGATGAAAAAGCTTTTGAACATGATATACGACATCAACCCTGAAGTCCACCCAAACTTCCGACAAGCAGCTTAAGATCAGCTATGTGCTGGGGAAAGACGTTTGTAAGAAGTTGGCTTCTTTCTTGATAACCATAGATATTTGCTCCTTTATTGTTTCTGTATTTGTGAGAGAAAGAACACTAAAGCCAAAAGTGCACAGTTCCAGAAAGGTTTTTGATGTGACAAGAATTATACAGGGTTTCACAAGCATTTGTTGGAATATTGTTTTTTCCTGGTGGTAGTTAAGCCCCTGTCATTTGAACGAGGGCAAGTCAATAACTGCAGAATAAATAATTATTTGACACCAGCAGCTTTTCAGTGGGAGTCTTTCTTTCTTTTTCTCATATAATATGTTCTGTACTAGATGTGTTGTTGCATAAAGTCTGTTTATCCCATTCTTTAGTGTACTTCAAGTCATGTGAAATAGAACCCCACAAAAATAAAAAATAAAGCATTTCTGTTCTCCTTGTGACGCATGGAGCAGCCAGATTACGGAATATATAGGAACTGCCACTTTTGGTCAGAAAGAAGAGGTCAAAACACTGTCAGCTGTTTAATCCTAATTTGAAGCAATATATAGCTGACTTGTACACAATCATGTTCAAAAGCCATACTCCAAGTATCATCCTATTGTTTAAATACATCACAAGCTTTGCATAGCTTTTTTAAGGCTGAAAAGTGAGAGCAGGAGTAATCATTATGTGTAACATCGCCTTGGTTCAAGGTGCACTGTAGCATGCCCATCGTTATCTATTCAGTTATTCCAAAAGCAAGGAACCCAGTGGCTCAAACTTCACCACTGCTACACTAAATAGTACCTTAATCCACAAGAAGCTGATGGAAATCAGGTCACTCAGGGCTCACGCCTGTTACCCAAAGTGACCTTGAGTAATAATTCCCTCCACAATGGCACAGATTTCCCTTGAAATAAATATTTCTGAGGTTAGGAAAATATAATACGATCTGGTTGCTTCCAAGGGGAAGCCTGTTAAATCTGATGCAAGGCACTGATGAGGTGTGTGTGGGGGGGGGAGGGTTCATGAACCTATGCCATGAACCTCATTAATGCCTTGTCTTCACTACAGAATTATACTGAATTAGAAAACAAGCTTGAGTAACTGCAATGACTAGCAAACAATAGCCATGATGTTCAGTCCATGTAGCCTCAGACAAATCATTTCAATTTCACAGCAGCTAGTCATAGGCAATCTCCTGTTCCAGAGAGGTTTACACAACTGACATGCTGTCATGTGTAAAATGACCGTAAAGCTGTAGTCAACTTAATGTCAGCAAACATGACTCCTCAAGGCTGTGCCTGATACTACGCAGTCTCAAAGCCCTGCTTGTTACTGTCTCCTGTGCTTGATTATATTCTCTGGAGACACAAGGATGAGGAGGAATGGGAAAGAGACTAGAAATCCTATTGACATCAGCTGAAAGGCTTATTTCTTTAGGAGTGGTTCGAATCACGTTGTGATAGGGTTTGATTTACTGCGGGGATGAAGGAACCCCAGTCCCAGTGCCGGCACCCTTCTGCATCGTGCGGCACAGCTGGGGCTGCCCCGGCACACACGCCTCTGACTTGGGTTATGGCTGCAGACCCAGTGTAGTGCTCAACTGTGAAGCACATATTTTCTGTGAACTTAAATAAACACTATAAAAAGTGAACATTTTAAAAGGAATAAGCTGAAACACAGCCTCAACTCCACACCAGGGGAGTATTCTCCACACAAAGGGAATACTCAGTATAAGAAAAATGACTTCTCGGTGGTTACTGACAAATACTCAGATTTTGCAGAACTGAAAGAAGTTACTGACGGGGAAACTGATTCAAATTTTGGCTATGCCAAAGCAGGGACTGAAGAAGGAGAGAGAATTTATTTAAAAAGTTGAAGTTTGAGGTGTGGAATCAATAACTAGTTATCAAGATGTGTTATCTTTAACATAATTAGATAGCAGTACTTTCTGCTTTTCTTTACGGTGGAAATCTAATATGAAAACTACTCCAGTGGCTAGAAAGCAGACCCAAGGCCCTACAGTGGTTTTCAGAGGGGACATCAGATAGCAAAGAAATGACATTCCTTTGATACCTTCCCCTCTCCCTGCGTTACACAGTTGTACCAGCATTTTGGAAGCAGGAAGAGTTATTTCTTAAACAAATTCTCAGTCGTTTGTTCTTCCCTTCCTAAACACTTAGCAGTCAGTCCAGCAAGGACCTCTGTTAGCACCCTTCAAGGCGGGCACCGACCTCTCTGGAGCACTCCTTGCTGTGACCAGGACTGCTCCACTTGCCCTCTGCACTACCTCAGTGCCCCTTCTGCCAGTTATCACTTATTTGTGACACCCCCTCTTACTCTCAATCTTGCTGAAACCTGTCCTTTGTCAACAATTGCTTCTTGTGTGAAGCTTCTGTCCTCCTTTCAGGGCTGCTTTTTACCCTTCTGGTCCGAGAAGCCACACGCATTTCTTATTTACGTCTCCAAAGCACGCAGTCCCTCACAGGCACAACTAGGCCGCGAGTGCCGGCCTAGCCACTTACTGCAGCACCAGCTCTCACCCAGCCACGCTGCGAGCGTGGCAGTGACCCACCTGCAGCTCTGTGCCCTCCGTGGACCCGAGATAAAATTGTTTGATGTTGAGAGATAAATCCAAGAGCTTTGAGCACTCTGTGCATTTGCTCTTCCTACATTCATTCCTACTTCTGAATGGGGATTAGGGTGGTTGTAGCACCACTCTGAGCTGTGCAGAGGTAAAAGGCTAAGTTAGACAGTTAGACTTCGTGTAAGTTGACAAGATACCTGTTTTTTTTTTTTTTTTTTTTTGGACAAAGGGTGTAAAGTACCAGCTGCATCAATAGAATACTGAGGTGCCAAGAAAATGTCTGCTGAATTTACAAGTGCACAAAATATCTTGTATGCAACATTCAAGCATTCAGGGTAATGGCAAACATTCGTTCCACTCCAAAGAAAAAGGAAATATAGAAGCAAAGAGATTTAATTTTAAAATGCTTTTAAATGCATTAAAAATAAGCAAACATGCCTACCATCAATATTTTCTCTGTCAGGATGCCAGGAATGCATTTTTCCTGGTACTGCTTGTTCATCAGTGAAGATGAAAAATCTCAACATGATCAGAAGAGGGATGAGCTTAACTAAACAGCCCAAGCATTTCCTGGAAACTTCTCCCTTTCAGTTTAGTTGAAAATGCTGTCCAACCATTGTCACTGGGGCTCTGCCAGCTTCCAGAGCTGTAAGGAAAGTCTCCCAGCAGTAGGGCTTTCAGCAGCCTGCAGGAACACGTCTCTGGGCAGGCCCCTGGGGTTCGTTTTGCTCTGTCCACCAAACAGGGCAACCATCGCTATATGAACAAGTCGTGGGGTACAAGAACAATGTGTGACCCTCACAGCAACATGCTCTGCAACTAGAATAAGCTCTTCAACATGCTCCTTCTTGGTGCATAAAGAGCCCCACCTGTCTCACCTGTGCTTCAGACCTAGGACAAATAGTCATAATTTTGGGGGTAGCAATGGATCACAAGCTAAGCACCCAGGCTTCTTCATTGAGGAGAGGTGGGAACTGATTATCTTAAGCTTTACATGAGATAAGCACTGTGCTCGCATCTGTATTTAGTCCTGGCCATCAGCAGAGCACTATCTTGTCATGTCACCAAAGCACTGAGGCAGCAGGCAGCTATAATCTGAAAGATTTTGGGGGTGCTAGCAGTAATTGCAGCCCAATTCTGTTCCAGGAACCTACCACAGGCATGTGTTGATTAAGTAGGAAACATGAATGCTATGTAATATTATGTTCTTCTTTATGTATACAATGCATATACTTCAAAATGATTTTCTCCGGCTCGTCGCAAGAAAAGAGGAAATGCCTGCTGCAGAATACACAAGTGTCATATATTCCTGCCAAGTTCACAGCCGCCTGTCCCTCATAGATTTGATTATTCCTCATTTTATGGTAGAATAAGGCACTTCAAACTCTGAGTCTTCCCTGAGGAATGTTAACGCTTGTTAGAAGTACATGACCCAACCAGTATTACTACAAAACACTTGGAAAATGTTACATCGGAGGACTATTAATGCACTCCATTGCGCTTACAGGACATGACTGCATGTGGAAAATCTGATGACTTGCAAGCCTATTAACTTACTGAGATTCCTCATTGCTTTTATGAAAGATATGCCACAACCGAATTACCTGACACAGGGTGATTCCTGGAAGTCCCCTTTTGCCCAAAATATTTGATTTATTTACCAGCACATCATATTCCAAACTGCTACCAAATTTCCCTACCACTTTTGGAAACACAGAAATTTTGAGTAGAGCTGTGCTCCAAAGAAAATTAGTTTGGTTAAAACTCAAATATCATGCCAGAAAACTGATCTCAATAACTAGCATTAAATAAACTTTGATTTAAAAAAAAATGAAATACAGTATTTATAATTCAATTCATTTTTAACAAACCAAATAACTCTAGTATAAAACAGATCAGCAAGGTTGTCTCGTTTGTATAGCCTGCTCTTTACAGTCTACGTAAAAATTTATTTTACAGTCCTATGGCACTGATTGTAGGAAACAGATTGATAAAAAACAGCAGCAGATATATAAGATAAGCATAGCTGAACTATGCAGGTGTCACTTTGGTAAATAGATTCAGCATTTTGTGGCAGTCTTCTTTCCATTCACACTTACCTGAGAGAAACTAAAAGGTATCTGTGCATCCCAGGGATGGTAGCAGGATAATTCATACTCACGCTTAAAATTAAGCCAAGATGACGTGGTGGCAGCTCAGGGGTGAGAGCAGAAGCAAGACCTCCCAGCAAGGAGAGGCTGCCAGGGCACCACAGGGCTGGAAGTTGCTCCTACGACGAGCCCTGTTCCATGGCCCCTTCCTCTGCTCCTGGTCCTGGCCATGGCAGCACGGCTCTCCCATCCCAGGATCGTGCACCGTGACCCTGCAGTCACTGCAGGAGCTGCCTTACACCTGCTTCATACCCCTGCATGAGGGGGATGGATTTTAGCTCCTCCTCATGGTTTCCCAGCAGTTAGCAGCAGTAAAGAATGTTTAATAAATGAAATAGTTGCCTTGCATCAGATTAACACTTCTTAAACGATGTATCTTCTAATTTTAGTTTCAAGGAGAAAAAATAGCATTGTTTCCTATTAACACTTAACTGCTCTGTCTGCATGGGCAATGGAAAATGTTTCTTGCAGCACAGGCTGCCAAACCTAGTCAGCTTATTTCCCTGAATGGGTTTTCCATTCAGCTCTACAGTAAGTAAATTATCATTCAGCACTTTTC